CTGGATGGGCTCAGGGACTGATTTTGAGCGGATTTGGCTTCATCCCCCCCTCCTGACCAATCTTCTAGGGCCAGCCTGTTCAGACCCCGTGGCCGCCTCCACTTTGGATCTGCGTAATGGGCGATGCTTCGCTGGATTCCGCCAGGGGCGCAGTGGCGCAGAGACATGCCCGCTTGACAGCACCAAGGGCGCGAGGCCTCGCTTGGATCCGCACAAGGCGATGCTCCGCTGGTCCCGCCTAGGGGCGCAGGGACGTGGCAACGCGTGCACGACTGAGAGCACCGAGGGCGCGAGGTCTCTCCCTTGGGATCTGCGCATCGCGGCGCCCCGCTGGACTTTGAAGCGAGGGGACCACCGCACGCTCGGGGGCACCCGGTTTTTGAGCGAGGTTTCGCCCGCCCCTGCGAGACGGCGAGAGGCGGCACCCGGTTCAGGACCTGCCAGGGGCGCAAGATGTCGAGGGGTCCGTCGTGCGCCTGCGAGCGCTCCGTGGGAGAGACCTGTCCCTCAGATCCGTGCGGGGGGCGGCGTTCCGGCGGCCGCCCCCCTTGGGGCGCAGGCTCCAGAGGGGGAGCGATTCCACTGGGACCTGCGTGAGTAGGGGAACGAACAATGACATAACCATAAAAACTCGGAGGTGCGCGCGGATTTCTGGGATCCGCGCTGGGGCCCCCTTGGCGGCGCCTCCGGCGCCGCCCCTGGCGCGCTCCACGCGCCAGGGAGGGGGGTTCCAGCGCGGATCCCAGAACTCCGCGCGGACCTCCGAGTTTTTATGTTTGTGTCATTTCTCGTTCCCCTAGTGAGGGCAGCACTCTGGCGGCGCTCCCCCCACCCCCCCTCGGGCGCAGGCTTCATTTGCGGGGCAGTGGCACGTCTGGGACCACCCGGGCAGGCGAGGTCTTGCACGGGCCTGCGCAGGGGGCAGCACTCCGCCGGCCCCCCCTCTTGGGGGCGTAGGACGGGGGGGGGGCCAGTCGCGTGTTTGGGAGCGCCGTGGGGGGGCGAGGTCTCAACTGGGTCCGCGCAGGGCGGGGCACCAGCTGCAGGACCAGTGGGGGTGTTCTTGACGCGACCACCTGCTCGTTTTGTGGAGCACACCTCGCTTCCTGCATGAACCCGCCTGGTCATCTTGGCCGCCGCCTCGCACGCTTCGTGGTCCCCATGGAGCTGCAGTTGCGGCGCTTGTATGCGCTCACCGCCTCCCGCATTACGTGTCTCATCAGGCCCCGGGCTGCTCTTTGCCCTTCCCGACCTCTTCCACCTGCTTCTCCCTCGCCCATCTCTTTCCGTATGCCAGGTCTGCTTCTTCGCAGAGAAGAAAAAAGAAGAAGGAGAAGGAGGCGGCACCGCTGGATTTGACCAGACTTGAATGTCGAACTGTTGGACAGCCTGTAAAGAGGATGGGGAGGAGGGGGAGGGGGAGGGGGAGGGGGAGGGGGAGGGGGAGGAGGAGGAGGAGGAGGAGGAGGAGAGGAGGAGGAGGAGGAGGAGGAGGAGGAGGAGGAGGAGGAGGAGGAGGAGGATCACCGCTCGAGTTCTTGTTCACCGTTTTCGTCCTTCGGGGCTCCTCCCAGGCTCATGGGACCTTCAGAAAACGACTCAGGATGAAGCTGGCGGGGAAGGCCTCAGGGTCCAGAACCCGTGTCGCTCAGGACCCTGTTGCCTTCATGCCGAAACACCAGGGGGTGTCCAGAAGGAGGGCCAGTTGTAGCTGTGCACGATTGTCATTCGGGCGCAATCGCGAGGCATCCTGCGCACCTGCGTCCGAGAAATCTGTTCAGAAACCTTTGCACCCCCTGGGCCGTCGTGGTGGTTGGTGCTTGTGCTATCACCTACACACAGATATGCGGCTGCTCTATCTCCATGTGCCTCCTCCTCTTACTTAGAATGCGATTCCCGGGAGGTTAATTGTTTAATCCAGCACAATCCCGCTTCATTCCGCTTACTATGGCTTGAAGAGGCTTACTATTGGGCTGAACAATGGGCTTAATAGCCTTTATGACTACGTTGACAGGGCTAATTCGTTTTCATGGCCCCTAAAAGGCCTGAGTGGCCCTCAAATCGTTCTGACGAGGACCACCCAGGGGTTGCCTCCTGACTCCTCGTGGAGGGACTATGAGATCCGACGTTGTGAAACATTGCACCATCGCGAAACATCAGGACTGGAGCCCTGGACCTCATCCTTTCTGCGCCAGATGGATCTGTCATCGTCTCAGGGCCCGAAACTGGGTGACAACGCCTGGTGTGAAAACAGTGCACGCTCGGATCTCAGGAGAGGAGGGAGGGAGCGGAGGGAGGGACACGCCGGAACGTGGAGGGGGGGGAAGGGAGGGAGGGGAGGGAGGGGGGGAGGGGATGGAGGAAGGGACACTGGGGAACGTTGAGGAGAGGAAGAGGAGGAGGAGGAGGAGGAGAGGAGGGAGGAGGAGGAGGAGGAGGAGGAGGAGGAGGAGGAGGAGAGGGAGGGAGGGAGGGAGGGAGGGAGGGGAGGGGGGGGGAGGGGGGGAGGGACATGTGGGAACGTGGAGGAGGGACGAGGGCCCCTCGCTCCGCCAGCAGGCGGCGGCCGGGGACGCCGCGGCGCCGGCGGAGGACCCGACCGCGGCCGCCGTGGCCGCAGCCGCGGGTCGGCGGCGGCGGAGGGGCCCTCCCTCCTCCCCCCCCCCAGGCTCCTCGGTCGTCCTCCTCGTTGCCCCGTGCAGGCCGAGGGTGTCCAGAAAGACGCTCTGGCCCTGCATACATATACACCCGCAGGGGCCTCGTGAGTTTAAGTTCTGACTTGGGCCAGCCCTCGAAGCGCCTGACGTTTTGCTTACCTCCTCCTCCTCTTCATCATCTTCCTGACCGTCTTCGTCGAGGAGGAACATGCATATGATGACCAGGTTCAGAGAGCTCCGATTGACCTTCACGGGACGGGTAAACCAAGCGGCGCTCCAACAGGAGGTTCTCCCTTGGAGGGTCAGATGGCGGGTGCTGCTGAACAGATATCCTCCTCCCAACCGTCCTCCTACTCCTCCTGCCGCGATTCGGGGGGCGTCCACGCAGCACCCCGCGGGGACCTCCCTATGAGGGCGTCCCGTTGGAGGGAGAGGCTGCCTGGGCCCTCGAGGGAAAGGCAACGAGGATGAGGAGGAGGAGGAGGAGGAGGAGGAGGAGGAGGAGGAGGAGGAGGAGGAGGAGGAGGAGGAGGAGGAGGAGGAGGAGGAGGAGGAGGAGCAGAGGAGGAGGAGCAGGACGGCGAGAAGGGGCAGGAGGAGGACTGAGACGACGACGACGAGGAGCAGGACGACGAGGCTCTTGTGGCCAGAGGGTCTGCGTGTCCACCGCTCCGCTCCGTGGGCACCTCATGGGAGGGGCTGCGAGGCTCCCCGCCGGCCCTGCCCTCCGCCGCTCGGCGCGCCCGCCGCCGCGGCCCGAGCTCTGGCGGCCTCGTGCTGCCGCCCCGCCGCCGCAGGGCAGGGCCCAGCCCGCCGCAGGCAGGAGGGCCTGCTTGATCTCCCAACCACGCAATTGGAGCTCCCCCCAGCGTTTGGGGATCTGGAGGTCGGGCAATCGTGAGAGGCGCGCACCCCCCCTCCTCCTCCTCCTCCTCCTCCTCCTGCTCCTCCTGCTCCTCCTCCTCCTGCTGCTCCTCCTCCTCCTCCTCCTTCTCCTCCTCCTCCTCCTCCTCGCTTCTCCTCCTCGCTTCTCCTCGGGGGCCTGGAGGCGGGGGTGAATGCAGACGGGGGTCAGCCAGGGCGCCGGATCCTGCAGGCTCCTGCAGGGCCAGGGGCGCACCGACCCGGGTTTGGGTGCAGGATCCTGCCAGGCCTGACTGGCCCGGGTCTGGATGGACCCGGGTCAGTAGATCCCCGATTTCCCTTTCAGCCCAGGCTCAGGCCAGACGAGGCGAGCAGGTCGGGGGCGCGTACCCGGGGTGCTCTCTGACAGACCTGCTGTCAGAACCGTGGCGCTCGCTCGCTTGTTCCTCCTCCTCCTCCTTTTTTAAACTGTTTTTTGTTGTTGTCGTTGCTTCTCTCTCTCTCTCTCGCTCTCTCTCTCTCTCGCTCTCTCTCTCTCTCTGTCTCTCTCTCTCTCTTTCTTAATTCCCTACCTAGGCTCTGCCTAGAAGGGTTCTTACTCTCTAGCTTAAAGAGGCCGGGCAGTGCTACACGCCCCGGGCGGTTCCCCCAGTCCCCGCCCCGCGGTTCCCCCAGTCCCCTGGGAGCTTTAGCTTTAGCTGTAGCTTAGCTTTAGCTTAGCTTTAGCTTTACTTTAGCTTAGCTTTATCTTACCTATAGCTTAGCTTTAGCTTAGCTTTAGCTTAGCTTTAGCTTAGCTTTAGCTTAGCTTTAGCTTAGCTTTAGCTTAGCTTTAGCTTAGCTTCAGCTTAGCCTTAGCTTAGCTTCAGCTTAGCGTTAGCTTAGCGTTAGCTTAGCTTTAGCTTAGCTTTAGCTTAGCTTCAGCTTAGTTTTAGCTTCAGCTTTAGCTTTAGCTTAGCTTTAGCTTAGTTGTAGCTCAGCTGTAGCTTAGCTTTAGCTTAGCTTTAGCTTTAGCTGTATCTTTAGCTCTAGCTTAGCTTTAACTTAGCTTTAGCTTAGCTTTAGCTTAACTTTAGCTTAGCTTTAGCTTAGCTTTAGCTTAGCTTTAGTTTAGCCTTAGCTAGCTTTAGCTTATCTTTAGTTTAGCGTTGGCTTAGCTTAGCTTATCTTCAGCTTAGCGTTAGCTTAGCGTTAGCTTAGCTTTAGATTAGCTTCAGCTTAGCTTCAGCTTAGTTTTAGCTGTAGCTTTAGCTTTAGCTTAGCTTTAGCTTAGCTGTAGCTTAGCTGTAGCTCAGCTGTAGCTCAGCTGTAGCTCAGCTTTAGCTTAGCTTTAGCTTAGCTTTAGCTTAGCTTTAGCTTAGCTTTAGCTTAGCTTCAGCTTAGCTTTAGCTTAGCTGTAGCTTAGCTTTACTGTTACTACTAATGCTGCTTTCCTAGGGGCTCCAACTCCTAGGTAGGGTCGCACTGGGATAATCAACAATCTCTTCGTGCCGCGCCCCCAGGTGTGCTGGTAGGGAGGTGCGGGCGTTTCGGCTGATGCCTCCTTATTGTGATGATGTTTGACTTGTCCACTAGGTACTGCACGCAGGATGTGCAGTTCTGAGGTGGTGGCTCTCGCCCCGAGCGCATTGCGCGTTCGTCTCCAACTCGTTCGACCTCGATCTCTCGAACCCCGATCCCTCGACTCGATCCTGCGATCCTCGATCCCTCCTCGACTCCTCGAACCCGCGATCCCTGCTCCAGGATCGGTGCATGGTCTTCCTGGCAACGCAAGGAGGGTATACACCGATCCTGGCCCCAGGATGGGCCCGGCCAGGATCAGCGTAAGTGTAGAGTTGGCGCTATTCTAGAACAGGAGGATTTTTCCAGTGTTCCGCTGTTGCCTAAGCTTAATGGGCAGACTATGCTGATAGTGGGCAAGAGGGAAATGTAGGTTAGGAGGAAAGGACGGGAGGAATGAGGAGGAGGGAGGACGACGACTAGTATGAGGAGGGAGGGAGGAGGGATGCAGCCAGATGGAGGAAAAGAGGAGGAGGGGGAGGAGGAGGAGGAGGAGGAGGAGGAGGAGGAGGAGGAGGAGGAGGAGGAGGAGGGAGGGAGGAGGAGGAGGAGGAGGAGGAGGGAGGAGGAGGAGGAGGAGGAGGAGGAGGAGGAGGAGGAGGAGGAGGAGGAGGAGGAGGAGGAGGTTGAGGAGTAGGAGGAGGAGGAGGAGGAGGCCTAGGAGTAAGAGGAGTAGGAGTAGGAGGAGGAGGAGGAGGACGAGGAGGAGGAGGAGGAGGAGGAGGAGGTGTTGATACAGACCGTTGCGACTGGGTGAGAAGGGTGCGCTTGTGCAGCAGTGTATGGCAGTTAGCAGAGAATTGTCCGGCAATGTCTTTTCCGGACACTTCGCCCTGTGGCTCAAGTTCTATGGTCTTATCGTGAAGAAGTTCCTGCCGTATTTTCGTGGTAGCGTAGCCCGTGGTTCGCCTCACGAGTTCCAGAGCAGAGATTGCGGCGGCGGCAGCGGCAACAGCCCCCCCGAACCCCGGAGCCAACGATCTGGGTTATGATGTGTCGTTACCTGAAGTACGCAAAGCTTGGTACAACCTGGGCACGAACTGGTTCGCGGAACTGCGCAACGCAGGTTGCGAGTACGTGATCGCAGCGCTCAGAACCAATCACGAAGGCATGCAGTTATTCTGCGAGCGCCGTTACACACAGGCATCAGGACTCTTGGGAAACGATGAAGAGTTCACGATGTCACAGATGATCTACAACATGATTGCTCTCCTGATCTTAGGTATCAATCGCACCACGTACTGCGAGGAACAGGTCTGTATCTATGAGGAACAAGTGAGGAAAAGGATTCCAACATTAAAAGAACACTTCGGAAGATGCTACTGAGATCGCTGAGGCAAAGCAGTCCGCAAGAAGCGGCAGTGCTGGCGGAGGTGGACAGAAGCCCGTGAGTGAATACAAGGGTGTTCAACGGTAAAATACGTTTTCAGGTGACACGACCAAAGGCAGATAAATGGAACGAAAAGCTGTTGAATGCACTCGCCTCAGTGAGGCACGGCTTCCGGACAACATTAAAGAATATGAGCAGCAAGCCGACACCATGGATGGGGTTCTTCCTGACGACGAACAGGACGATCTGATAACAAATCATGGACAGGAAGGTTAACACTGAACGAGTATGCCAAAGCGTCGGACATCAGAAGAAGGGGAGACGATCTAACAGGGGGAATATGTTTTGGGCGAAGACGCATATTCCAATCTGGACGAGGACCTCCGATATTTGTTAAACGACGAACTAGAGAGAACAGATCTTCAGGGGGAGCTTAGGATCTGCATGAATTAGAAGACATGCGGTTCTTTGCACAATTTACAAGTGGTGCTCTTCGGTCGCCTTTTACTCTTTCGCGCGAAATGAACTTGGCCACGAACCCTATAAATACCGAAGTAAGTTCGTGAAGTGGCTGTGCAACTTGAACATTGAGTGCGCTTTGGCGAAAATATGGGTCTGCTTCTTCATTGCCGCTGCTATGCAGGGTTGCTTCCTTCAGTTTCGCTATGACCCATGCCAGTGATTGGTTTGATGACTGGCGGTAAAATTGGTTCAGAACCCCAGAATCGTTGTACACCGACGCATGTCAACAATCGTCGTTAAGAGGATTGTGCAACGGGGAAGTGGCTAGACGCCGACGCGAAGAACGCTGATGCTATGGACATTGGCCGGGTTGCCGATGTCGACCGTGGAAATTGAGAGGCCAGTGCAGACGGGTATTTGGTGGCCCTGGACTGTGGATGAAGTGGCCGGGAACGGCAGTGCGAGCGAATTTTGTAGAAAGGAGAGGATGAGGGTGAAGGACCCATGTTCTGCAGGTGTGGCTGGCGCGGGCACGTGGCCAAGGGCGGCGCCGCTAGGGGGCCGTCAAAAGAAACGGAGGCGGCCGCAAGGATGATGCCGTGGATTCATGGTTGCCCAGGAGTGCAGGCGGGAGGATACAATGGGGGATATCAAGGCACCAAGGGTTGCCCGGGGTGTTGCGCAAAGGGGGGGCCGTGCAGGACCTCCCCGAGGAGACT